CTGTCTTTTTATCAGCTCCTGAAGGGAAAATTTGTTACCTCCGGTTGACCAAACCTGACCTTTGCTGTAGAAGAACTGAACTCTGATGCATTAGGAAATGTATGTTTTGGTCCGTTGTGATCTTTTGCCTTCCTGTGTCTGATAGAATGCATTCATTAACTCCATTCTTCTGTTAAGTAATTCCTTAAAACATGCAATTTATGTTTTAAGTAAGAGAGTTAATTAGTCCTTTTACCTAGTTCCTGTCAAAACCAAAGAATGCATCAAGCCCTCTCTCATTAGTATTCATACAAAGTGAATTGCTCCTTTCAGTTTTCGTTCATTATTATTTAACCGTTAATCCAAAAAGTGTATAGGCTCATGTTACGATGATGATTATTTTTTTTTGGTTGGTGTCCAGAGGGTCATTTTGAATGAAGCTCATTGCAGAAGGGTTGCAGAGTATGTGGATTTGCAGGAGCATTTAATGTGTTTTGCTTCCAGTCTTCCTCTCACTGGGCAACAAGCCAGGAACTGAGGTTTACTTTGTAAGTACTGAATCACTAATGCAAAAGCAGTGAAACTACATAGCTATCATACCCATCTGTCCAATATTACTACGCATGGAACTGACCATATTGAACATATTGAATTAATTCCACTGCAGCGTTGCCCATCAAATTACTTGACTCTTTACATCACCCTTTTTTTGCTCCCTAATGCAAAACATCCATTTTATTTGACAAGCCCTTCTTTGGCTTTGGCCTAAACAGAGAATGGGGATGATCTTGGCTCACTTCACTCTAAATAATCGTTCTTTAATTACACCAGAGGTGGTATCATCTGCAGTAATTACTGAAAAGATGTCAGCTCTCAGATAATGGAGTAAAACATTAATGGAACTGAGCTGCCCCAGACATTGGCTCATAGAAACCATCCACTTGTTACGCAGTGGCTTGACATTATTCTTAGCACCATGTCAGTCCTAGTTAAGGTTTCAGCTGAGTACCTGAGTTACGATCTTTCAGAAGTTCCATATGTCATAATGCTGATGTGTATTGTTTTGATTAAAAATGAATCTTGCTTTTTCCTCAGAAAACAAAATAATTTGTGGCTTCTGATAGATTTTTTTTTACAGCTACCTGAGTCATATCTCTGAGACTTCCTCCTAACCATCCAAATCTTTTTATAGAGGCCCATGACATCTTGAGGTAGTCAGACCATGCAGGTACATAACAGGAGTTGTTCGAATTGGTAAGCAGCAGCCAGTAGTAAAATCTTAGGTGTAATTCAGCCTGAAAAAAGACTAATTCCCTTGGCAGAAGTTACTGGATTATGCACTTGTAAATGAGATCTATCAGCTTATAATGAAAATAAACATTTTTGCCACTTGGAGTGTCAGAAATTTAGCCTGGAGATATTTGTTCCAGCAACTTAACTCAGTTTAAATCTCAAACCCAAGCTATAGTTTTCCAAGAACTGACCAAAGTTCTGACACATTGTAACTAAATCTGTAGTGGAGCAATAAAATGGTACCAGAAAATTACTTAAGGCAGCTGTGTTTTGAGATGTAAGTTTGTGACTTTCTAGATGGGCGTCTTGTATGATACATTTTTTGGCCTTACTGAAGTTGTGAAATTCTTTGAATCTAAACATGCAGTAAAAGTATAATAATGCAATTATGATGTATATAACATTCTGTGACTTACACGTATTTTATATGGCATAGTCTTCACTCTCCTTTTTGCAGTTATTTTATCTATTAATGAGCCCATCTTTCATATTCAAAGTAAATAAAATCCAAATCTATCAATCTATAAATGACAGTAATACTTAGTGAAGCAACAGCAGTCATTTGTTACTCAGTTACATAGAAAATCTAATATAATTCCAATTAAAAATAAGCCAGATGAGATCTTCAGAAATCACTTCTTATGCATCTCCTCACATATGTTAGTCTTCAAAAAAAAAAAAAAAACCAACATATGTGGAGAGCACTTAAATCCATATGGTATGCTCCCCTTGATATTTTTTCTATTAAAAATCTCTATACTGATAAGGCAGCCTTTTGATTTATATAGCTGGTTTTTCTTCAGTATAGAATATTGAAGGCTGTTTTTCTTCCCTTTCCTGCCTCCTCCTCTTTCTAGATTTATTACCATTTTCAGTGTCAGGACAAAGTTTCAAACTATAAATTTCAGGTAAGGAGCAAATGTGATGAATGCCAGTTTGCCCTTCCTTCCCCAGAGTTCGTAGTGAAATGCTGGGTAGTGGTGATCCCAGATGAGACTTGAAGGGAGTTTGCTTCAAGCAACATCCTATACTGTACAGAATTCAGCAAAGATTTAAATGGTACAGTGTACATTCAGTGGGTGCCAGGTCTGTTATTTTCTCTTTTCAGTTCACCTTTCTTCTGGAAATTAACCTTTCTTCTGCAACTTTAGTAAATAACAGTCTCAAAGGTTTATTGCTGCGCAAAACCCTATTCAATTCTAGTTAAAACTGGGTTTATTTTAAAATTTTTAATAAATATTAAGCTTAAAATTTTTGTCTTTATTGACTGGTTGGATTAGCAGCTAATACGTCATGTAAATGTTATTAAAAATATTTATTACATAGTTATTTGATTTTGAAGGAATGAATGTATTAGTTATTTCTTCCTATATGACATTATAGCACAATCAAGATGATTTCACCTGCATTTTGATTACAGCAGGAGTTTGCACTTCAGTTGATTGTAGCTCTATCTCTGTTTTGGTTTTGGTTGACCTACTTGTACTTTTGTATGTATGTGTAAGATGCAGCACAGCACATAGCTGTGTATTTTCTTTGCTAAGTCTGATGCTTCCAGTGTTCCCCATTACCCTACCATTAAGTAGTTTTGAAACTGGAAGCAAAAAGAAGTGGGAATGTCCGGTTTGACTGTGAGTTTCCTCAGCCCTTTGGCTACAAGAGTAGCTCATCCGTGTGCATCTTTGTGTGAAATTGATAAGAAGTAGGCTTAATCAAAGCACTTAAAAATTTGTTTTACCGGAGGTATCAGAAATGTGCAAGAAAAAGGTTTAAGGGACTCTGCAGTGTCCTTTAATGTTCTGGTTGCATTTCCTGCTTCAGAAGTGAATCTTGTCTGGATAAGAAGGTCCATTGTTTTTACAAAATCCAGAAGTTTTTCCTACGGTTTTGAAGATGGTGCACTATGTGTTTATAAACCAACTTCCTCTTTGATTTCACTGAGATTTCTACTTACAAATCAATGTCAGGGTGTAGCCTGGGGAGTTTGTAAGTAAAGTTCAAGAGAAAATAAAGCAGCAGACTCATTAATGAAAGAAGCTGAATGAATGGTGTGTAGTTTTCCCCACCCCGAAGATGGCTACTGGCAGCCTAGTTCTGATTATTTCTGTATCTGGTCTCATAGCACAATTCTGTTTGTCTTGTTAGTAATATTTCCAAAATGAATGCAGCAATCTGTCACTTATTGTATGGTAATATATATATATGCATTTTTATTATACCTCATTATTACCCTTACTTTAGCATACTAAAGTCTGCATAGGGTGCAGCGGCTTAGCTAATAGCCCTGAGGCACACAAAGGACAAAAGAAGCTTACTTTAATAATGTTTCAGACACTTCACTGTGATAGTATTTATTTTAGTCTAAAACCCAAATAAAGATCTTTAGAAGACTAGAAGACTAAGTGCTGAACTTACAAAGGGACTTGTAGTGTTCAGGAGGAAAGATTTAAGTATGTTCAATATGGTATATATTTGCTTTTTATTTGGGGGTTGCAAATACAACTTTGGGACTAAGTTTACTAGGACTAGGTAGAAGTATCTTTTCTGCTGGAACTCTGAAGCTATTATGGAAAACATTCTGTGTCTGTAAGAATCCTGTTTTCACATGTTATTTTGAGTGAGGAACATATATTTAACTTCAGTAAAAATAGGGGTAAGTTTGACTGGATTGAGAAAAGATTTCCAATGATCAGAGAGGTGTCTAAGTGACTTTCTTTAATATATCAGCTTAAGTTAGCTTTTATTAATACATTATATAGGCGGTATGTTAATGACATGTGCTTTATAAAGCACAGTAATTGCTTTATATAAAAACCTTACTTATTTATTGGTATTTTTAATCGATAATTGTTTCTTTCTATATATTAGACCTGTAATTTAAGAGTGCTTATTTAAATCTTTAATGAACACTATACTAAACAAAGATGTTTTAACTGCTGTTAAATTCTCTTGTGATCAGGACAAAGTTGTGTGCTATGGAAAACTGTATATGAATAGTAACTATAGTTAACAGAATTTATAAGGTTGGAATGAAAGGTGCATAATTCCATGAGAAAACATGATGAAGAAACTCTAGAATGAAGACTCGCTTAACTTTAAAAGGAACATTGTTTTTTAAAAAATGTTGTATTTAAATTTGAAATATTTCTCTATGCAGAGTTGTAGCTGAACATTGAAAGAGTAACATTCAATTCATATTTAGGAAATTGAACCTTCATAGGGCTCTTTTCCAGTATATGGTTGATCCAAACGATTCATTTAGTATGAAAAAATGATAGTGAGCGTTGGATTTTGTTATACTATGATATGATATCATGTCTAAAGCTTATAAGCTGTTAAAAGTCACAAGCTGTATGTACCCTATTTTAAGATTTATTAAAAAAAAGGCTAAAAATATTTTTATAACTGGCAGCTAGAATAATCCACTGTTATTCACTGTGGCATAACCTTTAACATGGTATCAGTGTTACCTTACTGCAATATAGAAGAGATTGTATATGCCAAAAAGAAACACTTTTTTTCTATGATAATTTGCAAGTTTTTCACATTATCATTTGAATGAAAGTGCAGTCTTTTGAGATGAAACATTGCAATGTGACATTGCATTAATTCATCAAAAAGAGTATGAAAGAGACCTTGGATGAAGAACTATTGAAAGGATTGAGATTTTGACATTGACTTCTGTGCAATCAGGATTTCACCCTTAATTATTTCTTTTTCCTTTTAAGTGTCTCAAGTTAGAAAACAACCTTACTGAGTGCATTCTTCTGCCTGGAAAACCCTAGTTGATGTATGAGAAAGATCACAAAGGAAAAATGTTATGGAAGATATGAGGGAAGTAAAGAAATAGGCGTAAGAAATACAAAGTCTAAGAGAGGACAGAACAAGAAATACCTGTGTGACTTTGTGTGCATGGAAACAAGTACTTTTATCACAGTCCTATAGTGATGTGATTGGAGGGTATAACATGCCTTCCACCTTCAAGCCAGCCTCTTTGTGGAAGCCAGGACAATGTGAGTATCTGAATGTGCATGCTAGGCCCTTTTGAGCTGCAGATACCTAACTCAAAAACATGTAGATAATCTTTATAACACCAAATCAGCAGATTCACCAGCATACACGTAAGCAGGCAGGCATCTTACGTGATTGCCTTCCAGTGGGTATTTGACTCCTTAAAGGTAGTTTGTCCTTGTTATTAAGAAAAAAGTGTATTAGCAGTTCCCAGCAAGTTATATATAATCCTGCTATGTGTTACACAGCCCATGTAAACTTGATTGGCTTTTTGTCTAAGTATATGCAAGTCTCACGTGTAAGTGTAGTTTGCTTATAAGGGTGTTTTGAATTACCTGTCTGACTTTTGTGGCTGTATTGTATAAAAGCAAGTGATAGGATGCAGACAGAGCTACATTAGTGTAATTTCTCTTTTTAGCTTAGACTAAGGCTTGTTGCTGTCTACTTGAATGGGTGATGGATACAGTTTTGCAGTATCCACTGTATAAGCACTGTACTTGCTGTATAAGGTAGTCATTAAATCTCACAAATGAGGTGAGTGATATCAAGAATAGTGTATCAAATTTCCTGTGCAGGCAACTTCTGATTTCAGAGCATTAGGATATAACATAGCTTTTCTTGCTTTTCATTATGCTGGCTTTGGTTGGGATATTTTCTACTTATTTTATTCTGGTTTGTTTCATCACAGGCTATAAAAATGTGTGGGTTGTGTTCTGGCTTTTTATTTCTGAAAAGCCATTATCAACTCTGCTCGAAACAGAGATGCAACTGAAAATTAATTTAGCCCTACTGTAGTTTGGTTTAATTTGCTGAATTGCCACATTGTTTTATGTTGCTTGGTTCAAGCAGTAGTTTTCTGGGAAGGGATACTGGTCTGGAAGAGTAGGTGTGGGTCAGTCAGGAGCTTGTGTAGGAGGGTTTGTAGGAGCAAGGAACTGTGAAGAAGCTCACCTTGTGCCTGGTTCTGTATGTGCCTCAGCCTGCCCAATTGTTTCTGGCTTGCAGCTCCCATGCAATTGCCCAAGTTATGTTCCCCTCCCACTGTTGATCCCCCTTAGGTGCAAATTATGTGCACCACTAATCTTTATTCAAAGGTGGTATCATGTGTTCTTGTTGGATTGTTTGTGGAGAGATAGCTGAGCAGGAGTCCAGTGTTTCATAGTCCTCTTGACAAGTTCAACCCTACAGTCAGTGCTAACACTGGGGGTTAACTTGCCAGAATACCCAGGAACTTAAACTATAATGTGCTTCCTGCTGAGAACACTTACACAGGATTAATGTCCCAAACAAGCGGTACAAATTGTGCAACTCCCTTTCAGTGAAAAGCCATTAACAAAAGCTGTGTTTCTAGCTCTGATTTAATGGGAAATCTTGCATTTTTCTGTAATATTTCAGAGATACTTTGGACTGCTGGCAGCTATGTCTTTTTCGCTGCAGGACTTGTCCCTGAGGCTGCTTTTTCTACTGTGTCACTTGTGCCCTTGTTCTTAATGCAGCCTTATACTCTACTGAAATCTCGTATACTTTGTATCTCGGCATAGAGGAGTCTCAGGAGGACAGACTGTCCCAGGACATTCAGCTGGATGCAGCTTATTCTTCTATAATCTTTTGAAGTTTATTGGAATAAACAGAGTGAGAAGAATATGTTGCTGCTGTGTTGCTATTCATAACATCAGAAAATATGCTCATGGATCACTCAGAGTTACTCTGCAATGGCATGACAGCCTGGCCCAACTGAACAAAAGCAAGGAGATTTAATTCCAGATGCCCATCTTTCAGCCAGTCACTTAGGATGTTGGAAGTGACTCTGACATAGCTTCAACAATATTATATAGCTCGCAGGGCCTCCTCAAAGGAAAGCATAAATCTTGAGTTTTCTTTATTTTGTTGCTTCTGATTTAAACTAATCAGACTAATGAGTTTATTTCATTATTAGGTTTGATGGCAAATTTTGCCTGTAACTGCTGGCATGATAAACAGAAAGAGTGACAGACCATTAGGAGAATAAAAATCCAGATTTTAAGCACCCCCATGTTAAAGATTCTGTGATTTGCTGTTCCCAATATTTCTTTTATAACAATATTTGGCACACATGGTACAGTCAGTGCTAGATGTAGATTTCATTCTTTGTTAATATTCCCCATTTAACGGTGTACTTGCTCACGTAGCTACAAAACCTCAACAGAGGAAATTGTGTAATGTGCTTTGGTGCTGAACAGAGAGCAACAGAAGGAACTTTCTTTGAGCTATAGAGGGAGAAAGGAAGAAATTCAGGAGAAATCAAGATATTTGTATAAAGAAATCCTACTTCATAATATTACCTCCTTTCAAGCCCTAACAGTTTTGCATTGTATTTCCCTTGACTCTCTGTTCAGATCTGCCTTCTTGGCTGAACCACTTAACCATCAAGTTACTGCTGTTCTCTTTTTCATGTTCTTGAAACTGTGCTGAAGGACTAAAGAACATTCAAATGGCCAGACTGTTCTCTCTATTTAGGAACTGAAATCTCATTATTTTTCCTGATACCTCACCTTAATTTCACTGCTCTTAAGCTGTTTTCTAGTTTCTGAAGTCTACTACCACTGTTATTTCCTAACAATCACCATACTGCATTCTTAATTTAATCAATCTCCTTCAGCTCTAAATAGCTCCATAAGATAGGTTAATTTTAAAGTGAATTTCATCAAAACAAATAGTAGCAGAAAATTAGCAATGCTATTGTCATGTCATAGTTCAAGGTACCTGGAGGGACTAGTACTAAAAGAGCACAGTAGTTCAGTCTCAGAATAAAGCCTCAGGACGTCCTCTCTGTATGCATAAACTGTTACTGTAAGTATGGTGAGATGTGATTTCACCTCATTAGAGATGACCCCAAGTTATTTTAATATCAGAAGGTGTTAGGGTTCTAACTGCAGGTACAAACAGAAGTTTAGTCCTGAGTATAAAACTAAGTCTTTTGCCACTGCCCTGATTACACTAATCATAGAATCATAGAATAGTTATGGTTGTAAAGGACCTTAAGATCATCAAGTTCCAACCCCCCTGCCTTGGGCAGGGACTCCACACAGTAAACCATGTCACCCAAGGCTCCATTCAGCCTGGCCTTCAACACTGCCAGGGATGGAGCATTCACATCTTCCTCTGGCAACCTGTTCCAGTGCCTCATCACCCACACAGTAAAGAACTTCTTCCTTATATCTAACCTGAACTTCCCCTGTTTTAGTTTGAATCTATCATCCCTTGTCCTATCACTGCAGTCCCTAATGACGAGTCCCTCTCTAGCATCCTTGTAGGCCCCCTTCAGATACTAGAAGATGCTCTGAGGTTTCCATGCAGCCTTCTCTTCTCCAAGCTGAACAGCCCCAACTTTCTCAGCCTGTCTTCATATGGGAGGTGCTCCAGTCTCCTGATCATCCCCGTGGCCCTCCTCTGGACTTGCTTCAACAGCTCCATGCCCTCCTTATGTTGAGGACACCAGAACTGCACACAGTACAAGTGAGGTCTCTTGAGAGCAGAGCCAGAGGGGCAGGATCACCTCCTTGGACCTGCTGGTCACACTCCTTTTGATGCAGCCCAGGATACGGTTGGCTTTCTGGGCTGCGAGTGCACACTGCCAGCTCATGTTCATTTTGTCATCAACCAACACCCCCAAGGCCTTCTCCACAGGGCTGCTCTGAATCTCTTCTCCACTAATGTTAATAGCACCAGGGAATACCAAATCTGGCGATACTGACATTTCTCCATGAGAAGCTGTTGACAAAGACATGTGATTTATCTTGCAAATCTTTCAAAAGGTAATGAGTTCCAGTCGCCACTGAGATGAATCAGTATAAATTGGTGACCTGAAGGTGAAAGAAGTTCCTCTACTACTTGTTCTGCCTAATTGTCTTTAAAAATTTCTGCTCCTATGAGCAGCTGAATAATTTCTTCTCAAAATTCATGTAATGGGCTTCTTTTCAATGTTGCTTTATGATTGCATCTTAGTGAACAGTACAGAACATGTTATAGAACTGTTGGAAAATCAGGCTAAAGAGGACTTCAGAAAATGTGTTTGTATTAATATGTAAAATATATCAGGCTCTGCTGTGTGGTCCTGAGATAAAATGGTACTGCATGGCTTGCATCCAGATGGCTGAACTCTCTTCCTCTTGAAACAGGATTGCCTAACTGGTATTGCCAACTGTGAATGAGTCTTAGTCCTTGTAACACCCTAAATCATGCCCAGACATTTTGTGGAAGCATCCTGGTAGGCCTTGGCCAAACTATGTTGGGATGTGCTGACAATTAACTGTCTGGATGATTGCCTGTCAGTTCTCAAACCTGAGATGGAGATCCCAGGGATTCCAGGGCCCATCTGTTCCCATGTTTAACTGGTCTTTACCACCAAAACTACAGTGTCTGACTAGAGTCATTTTTTCCTTCAGTTTAGGGAAGTGAACTTGTTACATCCGATTTAAGGTGAAGCTGAGCTCTGTTTTCATCCTGTCCTTTCACCATTCAATGACATCTCTGATATGGGTTCCTTATGAGGATCGTAGAACCACAGAATGGTTTGGGTTTGAAGGGACCCACTAGATCTCTTGTATTTTTTTATCAAAGAGAAGATACACACACACACACACATATTCTTTAATCTTCCTTTTCTGAGCCACATACTTGTAGAAACATCATATTTCCGAGGAAATTACCAGGCAGGAACAGAATCCTCAAGAGAAAGAAGCTGTTAGCCAGTATTCCTCTTAGGAATGGGGTTTCTGAATCTCATGGACTTTGAAGTTGTTAATCTGCATCCAAGACCTGTATAGGTAGAGCCTGACGATTTCCTGATGGAGGTCTTCATCTCAATAGGTAACAGCTTGGGGATAAAGCACTGCCAGGCTCCAGGGGAACTTCGCAGTCCTTCCTCCTTTACTTCTGCTCCTGTAGAACTCTGTAGGTGTGCCTCTTTGGGGCAGAGGTCCTGCAAGACAATGTTTTAATACTTAATTTTGCAATGTAATAG